ATCCTCCTGCCTGGCAGAGCCATCTCCATGAGATGCTGGAAGCTACCACCAGGTACTTTCGTAAAGGGAAGGTGGCCATGTAATCTGCCCAGTTCTGGCCAATGAAACTTAAGAGGAAGCGTGCTAATAGGGCTTCAGCAATTTTCTTTGTTGAACAAAGCAGAAACATGAAAAAAATAATTCCATGTCTCCCTACCTGCTTTTTGACATTGCTATCGGAGGATGACAGATTTGGTGTCTAACTAGATGGATAGCCTGGTATTACCGACCTACTTATTTCTTGTTAGGTGAGATCAAGAAGCATCCTTATTGGTTAAAGCCTGTTCGTCATGCATTCTGTCATTTGCAGCCCCAAACATCCTCGGCCAATAATTAAAATGGATTGTCAAGTTTACCTGCTTGAATTTAACTGTTAGAACTCATGGTCACCCAAATCCCACTGTGTAAGAAAGCTTTCTGCTGCAAGTAATTCAAAGTCCTGACTCCTGCTGGCTCAATATAGGGAAGTTTATTACCTTGTGTAAGAGGAAGAACAGAAACAGGGCAGGCTTCAGGTGGCACCCATGCCCTGGCTTTGCTTCTCTGAGGCTCTCCCATTCTGCTTTCACTGGTGGGTGGGTTTTGTCCTCAGCCCAGCTGACTGCCAAGTTCTAGGCACCACATCCCAAAGAGACAATGCTCAGTGGGAGAAGAGGGATTGTCCATTCCCGTGTCTCTTCAGAGAAGTGAGGAGAGGTTCTTTGTAAGCCACAGTCCATATTCATCCTTTCCGAAGTCAGTCCCTGGTAATGGGAGCAGGGTTGTGGCAATCCTCACGGGCTACCTCCTACCTGGGCTGGGGTGGGATGGATTTAAGGAAACCTACACCAAGGACCAACTCCAGGTGTCACATTTCTTGTCTCTTCTTGGAGATCTTTCATGGACGCTGGTGAGCTTTCCGCACTGGGAACCCTAACTGATATTTTTTTCTTTTATCTTGCCTTTGAGCCTTCACTCACTCAGGTTCCTCCTAGCTCAAAAGTGTTTCTTTCATTTTGCCAGTTGGTTTCTCTTAAAAGAATCAATTCTTTTTGTCCCTGGGTCCTAAATGCCTCAATCATGAAACAGGTGTTCTTTGTTGTAAAAAAACAATGTGATACCAATGTCTTCACAGAAAAAAAGAATCTAGACATCCGCACTACTGTTTTCATGGTTAAAAATGTTTCACTTCCATTTGTTCTTCTGCTTGAGCATATTTTTATGCTCACAAAGAAAACAGGCACCACGCCTTTAAGAGTAGATACCTGTCAGATTTTTAAATCGATACAAACTTACTTAAGGAAAAAGAGCAATTAAATGTGAAGCGACTTTTATCTGGGGAAAACTTGGAGATTCAGCTTGGAGGAGATAGTAGAGGAGAGAAATGTGTGTGTCAGGTAAACCCTTTCCTCATTTGATGGAAGCCCTGACCTTCTATTATCCCTCACGGCGCCTTCACCTGTATTCACGTGTAAGCGGATTCGCCTCCAAGGCTTGTTTTGTACCTGGTTTCGGCGGCTTTTAGTCAGAGAGATGCCTGGGAATCCCCTGGGTGCGCCGTGAGCCCGCAGTACGGGTTTCGGCCATTGTTAGGAGACTACCCCGCTCCCGACCCCTCCCGTCCTCCGCCCTCACAGGAGCCAGGATCCACCCACCCCCGAGAGCCTGTGCTATTGGGGGAATCTGATGCCACCCCCGGCGTCCGGGTGGGATTGGTCAGTGAGCACGTCTGCCATCATTGGTTGAGGGGCAGGCACGTGATGGACATAGTCCAATCAGGATGAGTCCTAAGATTTTGTTGGTTGGAATGCCACAGTGGACACGTGCTCTCGCCTTCCCTGGTGCGTGGGCGTGCGTTGAGTGGTGCTCACGCCGTGGAAGGTCAAGTAGAGGCACCGAAAACAAAACAGAAACAGATGGAAAGAGGCCTGACCTGGCTCTGGACCTTCCGGTGCTATGGGCCAAGAACTCCCTTTCCTGTTGGCCGAGTTTTCCATTAGCAGCAACGTGAAGGACCCTGCCGACGGAGTGGCGGGGGAAGAAGCTGCCCTCAAGGAATGTGAGTAAACGGGCCTATGTGTTTTATAAGTCTAGGCTCCTCAAGGCGAATAAGTTGTATTGCTCAAGAAAGGAGGGGGACATGAATTCTCTGTGTTTTGAGCACTGGGAAAAAAATTAGCCTGGGGACAATGATGTTTTCAGAATTCTCCCAGGGCTGAGCCTCTAACAGCGCTCCGGCCGGTCTTAAGGGTTAACTTGCTTCCAGCTTATGCACTCCTTGCTTGCTGACCTAAGTCCCTGATCTGTAGCAGAACTAACTTACTTTCTTTGAGATTTGCAGACCACTGGCCTTGAGGTGTGAAGGATGCCACTTTCCGAGAAGACCTGACTCCATTAAAAAACAGCTGCCCTGATGCCAGCACGTCTGTTCAGGGTCATGCCGACAGAGGACTAACCACCTGGGCACCTGCTGCTTCCACACTCAGCCCCCCTTCCTGCGCCCATGCTTTTCTCTTTAAAACCCTCTGCCTTTCTTGGGACAGGGAAGAAGGTCTTCGAGACAGTAGTCTGCCATCTTCCCAGGTTGCCAGCTTCCTGAAGAAAGCAAACTTTCCTTTCCCACCATCATCTGTCTCTTGAGTATTGATTTTGGAGCCAGGAGCAGCCGAACCTGAGTTTGAAACCGGTTCTCTGGTAACAAGCCTACACTCATTCAGATGCAGCCCGCTGTGGTGAGGGGTCTCTGAGGGACGTGGCAGAGCAGGCACCTGAAGGAACTGGACAATTAAGGCACCAGAGGCCCAGGTAGACCTGGCAGAATGGCCATGGAGGTACCTGCTGGCCGGGTCAGGAGGCTAGCAGGTCTGTGGCTTGGGTCAGCTTGCAGGGTGAAGAGTGGAGGACCAGTGACCCACGGTCATGCTGTTTGTTAAAATGCACATTCCTAGGACACCCAGAAAAGTCTCTGAATCAGAACCTCTGAGTGCACAACCTGGGGACAGGCATTTCAAGAAGCATCCCCGCTTATTTTTTTGGGGGGGGAAGTACCATTTGAGAACCCATGCCTTCAGAGCATGCAGAGGATTAAGCTGTGGAAACTTGGATTTAGTTGTCCCCTCCAGGCGGGAGAATGGTGAAAACAGGTGGCAAGAAAGCCCAGCATCAGGTTCCAGCAGATCCAGAAATAGGATGCCATAGGTCATTATGTTGGGTGATACACCCCTGGGTCAGGCTTAACATCCTGAGCCAGGGTGAATCTTCAGGTAGTTCAGAGCTAATTACCAATGCTTCTGGTGTTGAAACTATCTTGGGTGTAAGGCCAGTGGCCTTAGACACTTAACTAACAGAATAGTCCTACCAGCTTTGATGTGTGGAAATGTGGGGTGCTGGGCAAATGGGCCCTCATGCTGTCAGAGCACCCCTGGCCTGTTGGGGTCATGTAGTCCCGGTGACAGACCTCATCACAGGGTGCCAGGCTGTTGCCACACACCCTCTTCTGTCACTGCTTTTGAAAGTATACATTATAGCAGCTTGGCCTGGAAAAGATTTCACCACCACTGTTTACAAATGGGGACAGAAGTACTGAATTATTAGACCTCTCCAAGGTCAAGCAACAGGGAACTGGGGGAGGTGGGAAGCACAGTGGCTTCTACCTGTGACCCTGGGAGCCGTCAAGGTCAGTAGAAGTCATGTGCTGGGCAGCAGCCCCCCATGTGGCCCAGCTGTTCCTTCTATTATTATGTGCGTCCTCAGTGTTTTTCAGCTAAAAAAAGCAACATAAACAACAGCAAAAACTTTGAATGCTGCCATCAGAAAGAAAACAGTGCAGGGACGGGGAGAACCGAGTCTGTTCCAGCTGTAATTCTGCATGGTTCTCTCTGGGCCTGTTTCCTCATCTGCAAAATATGCTGCAGGCTCACTGCAAATGCTATCACGTAGGACTTCCAATGTCAGGTGCTTTCTTGTCAATTCCAGCCTCTCTCCTCTTAGGCCAACTTGAAAAATGCTTCCATTGAACGTTTTATACTGTGGTTCTTAAGATTTTTCAGCTTGGGTTTATCTCATTTGGAGAACACTTGTGTTTACCAACACAGGGCAATTGAAGGATGAGGCTCTACTCACCATCGACAGGTTTGTTTCCCCCTTGCTAAGCTAAATCACATGCTGAACCCTGATCCCATGAAAGGATGAGCTAATCGATTCCTTCTCTTAATTTTGCCCAATTTTAGAGTCCTCCCAAGAGAAAGAGAATGCATAGTTTATTGGGATGGGATTTTACTGCTGAAATATTTTACTTTTTAATTGTGAGGAAAGATACAAACAGAGATCTGGTTTACCCTAAAATAATTTTGTGTTCCCATTTGAGTAGATGTAGGAGTTAAAAAAATCTCCTACTTAAAAATACTCTTAGTATAAATATTTATGTGTGTATGTTTTCTTAAACCTCGATCTTTTTCCATTACGTGAAATAGTTCTCGTTCCTGGTATGTAATTCTATTAAACAACCTATCATCTCAAAACTAAGCAGTCTAATAATTGCCTCTGGGATTAGTTTTTAATCTTCATTTTAGTCAATTGTTCTATTTTTTTAGGGATAATACGATTTTACTGCATTTTAAGATACATTTAAATGAAAAGGCAAATATATGGTAAGTGGGAAGGGGGTTGAGCTAATGTGATAAAGGTTTGTCTGAAACCCACCTGAGGTACAGGACAGCTGTGGATTCTAAGCAGTTACATTTATTCAAATTCTTCTTTTCTTGGTTAGAGAATAATTTTTCTTTTTCCCAAAAAAGGATGTTTGTAACCAAACTAGGACCCGCCCCAGTGCTGGGGTAGCAGCAGCTACCCCAGGAAAGAGACAAGGGCCCATTTCCTTTGTGGTCATGCGCCTGGAGAAACTTGAGGAACTCCAGATAAGGAAAGGAGTGGATTCTGTCATCTGTGGCTCATAAATCCTCCAGAGTTGCTCCCAACTTCTGCACGGCTTCCACTACAGTCTGAGCCTCAGAAGGGAAGAAGAATGAGAGCTGGTTCTTCCCTTGACCTGTTCAGATTTCTCCATAGTGAGTACTTGCAAGGGCCAGGACAGGGGGCCCTCCTCTTCCACTCGATAGTGGGAGTTCTCAAACCCTAAGCTGTATCTGAATTACCCTGAGAGCATGGTACCTCAGTGATTTTTAGCCCTATTGTGAGTTTCTGATTCAACAGAACATTGGGAATGAGGCACCTGTGTTTTTAACCTGCATGTCAACAAGATGTCCATATGTCAGTGAAGTTTAGCGAACAGATAAGCAGGCAGTACTTAATATTTGAAATATCCTAGTCAAGAGTGCCTATTCCAGGAATAGTTAGGGAGTTCCTAGAGACTCTCATCTGAAGCCCACCTATGTGTGAGGGGGTGGGCTTACTAAATACAGCTTCAGTTATCTTTATATCCCATCAACACCAGAGGATTTGTTAATTAGCACAATGCACATTAGAAATATTTTTCATTGGTGAAATTAGCGGGACTCAAAATACATAGAAAACCTAGACATTACACAGGCGGCCCACTCTCGCATGAACAGGGTAAACTAATTGTGCTAGGTTTAGGGAAACCCATAACACCTGTTAATTCAGACCCAGGTCTTTGCAATCTGTTGCCCCGAGCGCTGAGGAGAAGGGGAGACTGGGGTACTGGGGTACTCATTGATCTGTGCTACTGGTTAACATACAGGGCAGCTGAGCAGTATTATCTAGATCATAAAATTTAGGAATTACCTTTGGTTGCTGTTATGTTCCCATTTTGCTGTAGAATAATCGTGTTCCTTATAAATGAGAAGAGTTGTGAAGTCAACAGGGTGGGGAAGGTGAGGATGGAAGGAAAAGCCCCACACTGAAGCACCGGGGGAGTGGGGGGCTGGTGGGGAGGGCTGATGGTTGAGGGTGCATGATGGAGCAGAAGTCTACTGCAGGAACGAGGGAGGAAATAAAGACTTCCTCGGGTAAGGAGGTCAGAATGGAGAGAAATACGAATAAGAAGGCATTTTGAGTTAATGAACTCAAAGACCTTTCTTATAATTCTTGCAAATGGAGAGAAGATCAACTTGGGGCACCCCCCCTTAGATTAGCATCTGATCAGGGTATTTTAGATGCTAACTACTTGCTTGTGTGTATGTTAAATCTAATGGACCCACTTATATCTTGCTGAGATGCAGGTTAAAATCCATTAGTTCCTGATGCTCCAGCTGGAAGCCTCATAAGAAGGACTGGAATAGTGATTTTCAGTGGGAGGGGAAGGTCCATGGGCTTTGTATCAGGATATGTGTGTGTGTATGTGTATGAGTATGTGTAATTAACAAATTATATGCTTGAAGGAGTCTCCCGATTTTGAACCTGTTTTGCTTTCTGCAGACACCGACCGTCATGCTATGGAAAATTCTCTTAAGTTCCATGGCTTTAACTTCCACCTATTTCACATCTCTAGCCCTGATCCCCCAGAGCACTGCAGAAGCCCCCAGCAGATTTTCCATCAAACCTCATTGGTCATAACTCTACCACCATGGCCACAGAAGCAGAACTACCATGAATAGTTTAGTCTAATGAAGATCTGCTCTGGTGGAAGTGGGACTAGGTCCTCTTAGTTATGGCTGCCAGAAGTGGAGGAAGCCAGCAAAGAAGAAGGAGAGAGTAGAGAAGGGTCAGGGATGGAGATGGCATAGGGAATGGGTTTGGTGGACAATAAAACAGTGTCTGTTACAGAGTCTGTGTGTTCTATAGATCAGTAAATTTGAAATGGGTCGTGGCCTCCTGGGAGAAGAGCATGTCAGAAGCGTGATACTTATCAAAAGGCAGCCGGTATGGATAAACAAAATGTGGTATATCCATACAATGAAAACACTAGTCAGCAGTAAAAGTGAACAGACTGAGGCTACATGCACTGTTGTGGATGGATCTCAAAGGTATTATGCCAAGAAGCTTGACACAAATGACTGTGTACTGTGTGATTTTGTTTATATGACATTATGGGAAAGGCAAAACTATAGGGACAGAAAACAGATCCGTGGCCACCTAGCGGGGGTGGAGGGAGGTGGCTAGATACAAAAGAGAAAGAAGGAACTTTTGGGGGTCATAAAATATTCTACAGATTAAAGAGAAAACTGGTACTGGGTCTTGGGTGGTGTGTGAAAAGGGACAAAAGACACTGCAGGAAAGTTCGTTTTGAGCGGAGGATACAGTTCTGTTGTCTTGAGAACAGGGTTATCTGCCCAGGCTTTGGTTTGGGCAAATGGAACAAATTTCACTTCTGTGTTCTTCAGAATATCAATGAGGAGTTGGTAAACAAGATTCTGAAGAGGGCTGAGAATACCCTGTGAACTGAGCTCCGGTTCTTAAACACCTGCAAATGGCCTCTAATGGATTAAAATATGGTTCTCCTTAAGAAGAAAGCTTTGCTGTGTTTACAGAGACTGTTATGTGTTCAACTTCAATGTTCTTATTTTGGGGGGCTAGCTGCGGCCTTAGGTGGCTTTTGATAGAGTTTGTAACTGACAGATTTTGCCTCAACGAAGGATCCTTCTTGTTGAAGTACTCTCTGACCATTTACCGTGGTCCTAAACAAACATGTCTATAACTGAATTTGATGAACTGTGGGAATCCCAGCACCTAGCAGGAGGGTGTTGGGGGGAGGGTGAAGAAAAGATATTTTTGGTTGAGGGGATGTGTCAAACATTTCAAGTCACATCACACAAACAGCTGCCTATTCTGTGACAATTCTGACCACAACATCTGGATGGTGGTATCTGAAATAGTGTCTCTGAGGTGATCTGATGAAGAAACTTGGCCCAAACAATTGGTGTCATGGTTATTTTGGGGCTGGTGTAGGTTTTTTCAAACTTGTTGATGTAAACTTTCTCCCATTTGTATTGGTGTTACATATATACATATCCCTGCTTCCTGATTATTAAGCACTTGGGGCTTTGTAAATATGCATTCCATTCTGACCTAACACTCCTTCTGAGTTTCAGACATTACCGTTCCAGCACCATGACATAAACGCGTCCATCTCCAGACACATGATTTTCAAAACCGCAGATTAAGTGCTAAACCATCATCACGAAATCCACTTCATGTTGTAATCAGCTTGCTTGCCACGGCCCTCTCCTGAGAAAGAGATTATGCAATCAGTAGTAACAAATGCTGGGCATTCTAGGAAGGAAGCATCCCACAGGTTGTGGGTCAATCACAAGCTGTTGGAGGGAGGTAATTGAGAAGACATGACCACTGGTTGACCCTCGAGCTGGACATAGGCAACTAGAGGCTTCTCGCCCCCTCCCCTGTCCTCGGAATGCATGTTTTGTCCACTGTTCCTGCACTTGGAGCCATTTCAAGGATGCAGCCTTGTGAGAATAATGTGTTGTTGAGACCATCTGGACTGGTTATGTGGGCTGGACCCTGCTGAGGCCTCTACAGAAACTTTAAGATTCTGGCAGGTGGGTGCAGAGATCCACTCATCTTGTGGCTGCCCAAGAAAAGCCTCATATGTAAGTTCCCTTGCTTGTTAAAAGTGTTACTTACCCATCTGGAGTGGCCTGCCTCTTTTCTCAGTCTTCTGGCCCTCCATTTACAGAGGCCAGTTTGCAAACCAATGCAAATTTTTGTTCAAAAGCGGATTCCCTGGTCCCATCACTAGAAATTTCACCTGAGGTCTGAAGTGGAGCTCTAGAATCTTTATTGCTAAGTTTTCATAAATGACCTGGTGTTACAGATGCTATGGCCTTTAAGTCATCCCTTGAGAAGAGACCCTTTTCTAAAACACCTAACCAGGAAATTCGTTTTCTCTCAGGACTGAACAGGAGGCAACATTTACCTAGAATCTTCTTTCCTTTTATTTTTTATTTTACTTTTTAAAAGATTTTATTTATTTATTTGACAGAGAGAGGCACAGTGAGAGAGGGAACACAAGCAGGGGGAGAGGGAGAAGCAGGCCTCCCATGGAGCAGGAACCCAATGCAGGGCTCGATCCCAGGACCCTGGGATCATGACCTGAGCAGAAAGCAGACGCTTAACGACTGAGCCACCCAGGTGCCCCAAATCTTTTTTCTTTTTATTGTTAAAGTGCAAATAAAATAGCCCTTAACTCTCAGGAAAAGAAAAAGACTACAGAGTGAGGAAAAGAAAATGTGGGGGTCTTAAGAAAAGCAGCATCAGCAGTCAACTGTCACAAATTCACTGTTCTGGGAAATTGGCCACATAGTACCAAAGCCCTTATCCTCCCCAAATTCGTGGCCATGCACACTTGCACAAATGCACTGACACTAACCATGTTTTCCCTTCACCTGCCGATGCAGTCATTGTAACTAAATTGCCAACTTGTTTTTATTCTGTTCAATTTGTCACCCCGTTTGAGAGCTACACCACGATCAATTCTATTACATACTTCCCTGCAATTCCCTTGGTAATGAAGTAATCAAAAGATTTAGAAGTTTACCTATAAATGTATTTCATTTTATACTTTAGAGGAGTTTTGGGGAAGATCCTGTACACAGCATGCCCTTAATAAATAATTTCTGAGTGAATGAATGACATGTCAAGCTGAATCACATTATCGTGTATATTCACAAAATAGTAGATCAAATCATATTTCTGGTACAGCTAACAGCTGATTCTTAAAGAAAACCCACTTTTGAAAGCGAAGGCGGTTTTTGTTGTTTCGTTTATTTGTTTTTGTTTTTTGGCAAGGAGAACAATTATACCTTGATATGTTTTTTAAAACTTTCATTTTGAAATCACTTTAAATTACAAAAGGGTTGCAAAAAATAGTTCAAAGAGCTCCCTCATATTCTTCAAGTTGTTAACATTTCTGAATCATCTGAGTAAGTTACAGATGTGCTGCCTCTTTACCCTGTCCTACATCAATATATATTTTCTAAAAACAAGGAAACTCCTAAATAACAACAGTACAATCTTTCATCAGGAAAATAACATTGATCCAACTTAATAAAGTCCACTAAAATTTTACCAGTTATGCCATTATTATCATTTATAGGTCTTGGATCCCATCAAAGATCACCTGTTGCATTTAGTTGTCTTGTCTCTATAGGACTTTTAACCTGGAACAATCTTTACTTTCATAGCCTTGGCATTTTTGAAGAGTACATGCCAGTTACTTGAATTTCTCTCAATTTGCATTTGTCTGATGCTTCCTCATGACTTACATATTTATGTAGAAGTACTGCTGTGTTCTCACTGTATTATATCAGGAGGCAACATGAAGTTGGTTTTTTCCATTACCAGTGTTTATTTATGTGAACTGTTGCTGGTTGATTAAGATGGTATCTCCCAAGTATTATAGCTGTCATGTTAATTGGTAAATATGCTGTGCTTATTAATTAATAATTAATGATATATTGATGAGAATTAGTGAGCATTTTTAGGGACATATATTGAGACTGCAAACATCTTGTTCCTCATCAAACTTTTACTCACAAATTTTAGCATCTCTTGATTCTGGCTTGAATCAATTATAATGATAGTTGTAAAATGGTGATTTTCTAATTCTATCTTTCTTTCTTCATCTATTAGTTGTATTCTACTAGTAGAGCTTTCCTTTCTCCTTTTTTTTCTTTCTACCAGCATGGACTCATTGATTTCTGTTTTACTCAAAGGTTACAACTTATTGACCTATTGCTGTCATTATTTATTTTGATGCTTAAATCGTCCTAGATTTGACCAGTGGAGACCCCTTCCGGCTCCTATATTCTTTTGACATATCTCCATAATTCTTTAAGTACCTTCTTATTTTCTTTTATTTTTTATTTTTATTTATTTATTCATGAGACACAGAGAGAGAGAGAGAGAGAGAGAGAGAGGCAGAGGGAGAAGCAGGCTCCCAAGGAGCAGGGAGCCCAATGCGGGACTCGATTCCACGACTCTGGGATCATGACCTGAGCCGAAGGCAGACGCTTAACCATCTGAGCCACTCAGGCGCCCATTACCTTCTTATTTTCTTGCATAACAAATTATTCCAGTTTCACCCACTACATCATGGAGCCATAGGTCCTTTTGGTGGAGAATGGTATTTAAAAAGCAAAGGCGGAGTGTTAGGTGTGTTCATAGCTACTGGGGTACTGTTGGATTTAGACCCTCTCAGTGGATAGAACTAGGAAACATATCAACATATATGCACACTCATACCTATGCTTATATTTTTCTGTCTTTTTATCTATGTAAATTAAAAATCATTTCATACCATCTCCTCTAATTTCAAGCCACATCACTAGGTTTACTCTAATCTTCCTTCTTTTTATATGGGTAATTCCCTTCTCCAACAGTGAGAAAACTGCCTATCTATATCCTTAATATATTTATTTGTTTGCTCAATTCCTGGTATGTAAACCCATCTGCTAGACATGGTGGCAAAAAGTATGGCCTGTCTCTATGAAGTTAGCTATTTTTATCATTTTATATATATATATAAATTATATTTATAATATAAATGTATGTTTTTATTAAAATTATATATAAATTATATACATTATAAAATATATAGTATATATATGTCTATGTGTATGTTATAAATATATATGTAATTAAATATTTCATATGAAACTGAATATAATGAAATAAAATATTTTCCATATGTATATAAGAAATTATATATCACATATTAGAAAGCCCATATAATACATAAAACATATCAATATAAGTAAATATATATAAGACATCTGATTTTGTATATATGTTTTTTGCCTAGATTTACTGAGATGTTACTGATATCAAGATATCTAGACTTGAAGTTCAAGGTGTAGTGTGTGATTATTTGATACATGTATATATTGCAAAGTGATTACCACAATAAAGTTAGTTAACACTTCCATCCCCTCACATAATTACCACTTTCTGTGTGCATAACAATTAAAACTTATTCTGTTAACAACTTTCAAGTATAATACAATATTGTTAATTATGGTCACCATGCTGTACATTAGATCCCTAGATCTAATAACTAGGTTTATACTCTTTGATCAACTAATTAGATCTAATAACTAGGTTTATGCCCTTTGGTCAACATCTTCTCATTTCTCCCATCCCCTGGCAACTACCATTCTACTCTGTATTTTTGTGAGTTCAACTTTTTTAGATTCCACAGTGAGTTCATATAGTATGTGTCTTTCTCTGACTTATCTCACTTAGCATAGTGCCCTCAAGGTCCAACCATATTGTTGCAAGTAGCAGGATTTCCTTCTTTTTTGTATGGCTAATAATGGCTATTTCTGTGAAAAATGCCATTGGAATTTTGATAATAATTTTGATAATAAATGTACCTGTGTGTGTGTACATGCGCACGTGTGATCCATTCACGTGTCCATGGACACTCAGGTTGTTTCCATGTCTTGGCTATTGTACATAATGCTGCAGTGTACATGGGGATGCATATATCTTTGAGTTAGTATTTTCACTTTTTTTGGATATATATCCAGAAGTGGAATTGCTGGATCATGTGGTAGTTCTATTTTTAAATTTTTGAGGAAACTCCATACTGTTTTCCATAGTGGCTGTACCAATTTACATTCCCATCAACAGTGCTCAAGGGTTCCCTTTTCTCTTCTTCCTTGCAAATACTTGTCATTCGTCGTTTTGAAAATACCATTCTAACAGGTGTGAAGTGATATCTCATTGTGGTTTTAATTTGCATTTCCTTAAAATTAGTGATTAGTAACGTTGAACATATTTTCATGTACCTGTTGGCCATCTGTATGTCTTCTTTGGAAAACTGTCTATTCGAGTCCTTTGCCTGTTTTTTAACTTTTCTATTGAGTTATATGAGTTCTTATACATTTTGGATATTAACTCCTCCTCAGCTAGATGGTTGGAAAATATTTTCTCCCCATTCCATAAGTTGCCTTTTCATTTTGCTGTTTCCTTTGCCATGCAGAAGCTATTTAGTTTGATGTAGTCCCACCTGTTTATTTTTACTTTTGTTACTTGTGTTTTTGGAGTCATATCCAAAGAATTATTGCCAAGACCAATGGGAAAGAGATTTTCCTGTTTTTTTTTTTTTTTTTTTTTTTTTTTTTTTTTTTTTTTTTGCCAGTTGCTTTACCATTTGGGGTCTTACATTTAAGTCTTTAATCCATTTGGAGTTAATTTTTGTAAGTTGTATAAGATAGGGGTCCATTTTCATTCTTTTGCATGTGACTATCCAGCTTTCCTAATATACATTATTGAAGAGACTATCCTTTCCCCACCGAATATTCTTGGCTCCCTTGTCAAATAGTCATTGACTGTATATGAGTGGGCTTATTTCTGGGCTCTGCATTGGCCCACTTGTCTGTTTTGATGCTAACACCATGCTGTTTTGGTTACTGTAGCTTTTGTGAAATCAGATTGCGTGATGCCTCTGGCTTTACTCTTCTTGCTCTTTACTGTTTTGACTAATTGGGGTCTTTTATGATACCATATATGTCTTAGCATTCTTTTCTTCTGTGAA